TCATAAGGCCTATCTGGAAGGGGATAATAAGAGCATGGACGACACATACCAAAACTGAAAAAAACAAACCCTCAACACGGAGTTCTCTCAGCCGGAGACAGGATTGACTCGACCATCTGCTCGAGCTGCTCCAACTGATTACCGAGAAAAGGTTGTCAGAGTGGCGAGGACTTACGGCAAGGATGCCAAGGTAATGTACGAAATCGCAAGCGTTCAGGAAGACCTTCCAGGTACCCACAGCTGCATACTTCAGGGAGCACGGTCAAAGGGTACGATCCACTCTTTTGTGCGATTCGGATCTTAATTTCCTTGAATTCTGGTCGCCAGTCTGAAACTCTCAGCATAAGCATAGCTCTTCAAAGCTGTGCTCTTCAAACAGAGTCTGCTATTGGGAGCTCTACCAATGAAGTGCGCCGGAACTGCCTGGTCCTGCCGCCATTGCTGCGCATTGATGGCCGAGCTGCAAAGTAATGTGTCGTCCCAGTCGAAAATAATCACCTGCACACGGAGGCAAGGTTCCGACATGACTGGATTGCGAAAGCTGTATTACAATTACACACACAAACATACATACATACATACATACATACATACATACATACATACATACATACATATATATATATACATATATATATATATTTGTTTTGTGGACTTTATAAAATATACATATTATGCTTGTCATATATTATCTGATATCTTGCAATGGAACTCCCTGCCGCAGCCGCAGGATGAAGCAGGGCTTTTGGATTCCGGAAATCAACGCGTCAATGGGTTTAGGGTTTAGGGTTTGAGCACATCCACGCGCCCGAAGTGAGCTTTACCCATAGGCCCCATAGTAGTTCCTTTTTGGGGTTACCTTATAGGATTCTATATATGAACCCCCAAAAGGAACTACTTTAGGGCCTATGGGTAGAACAGCCTTCGTCACGGGAAAGACTAGCCGATAAGGGTTCTATAGGGCGGGCACCTGGATGGAGGCACTTTCTAGCGGCGCAGCCAGCAATGACAAATGTAGAGGCCGCATCCGCAGGTTCCCTCTTTGTACAAGATGGCACAGCATACTGGGGGTTTCGGTCCTTGCAGTGTATCTGACTAGTGAGCTGAGGCTTTTAGCGTCGGAATATCCAGAGCCAACAACTAAGTACACACTCTACCGGGTAACTTGAATGGAGAACAACCCCCAGTTGCTGTCAGGATCCATGACGCTCCTTTTCTAGAGGCTGCCGGAGAAATGCAGCCACTGCCAGGAGGGCCATGCTGATGTCACTGGTACCTGAAGGGCTCTAATTTGGGCTAGGCTCTTGATTTCTACAGCGCTTGAGTAGAGGATTACATTGTGAGTTTTGGATTCAGGAGGCCCGGATGCGTACTCCTTGGCCCAGTTAGGGTAGCAGCATCCGTGCCCGATTTGGCCGGACCCCAGACTCAGATGCTTCTAATCCTATCATAACAGAGTGTCCAATGGCCCTAAGGCCTACGGACACCCTTAGCGCTCCATCAATCGTGAGCCCCGAAGCCTGAGCCCCCTGGGTTCTGCAAAAAAGCCAATCCCTGCCTCCGATGCCGCCCAAGCAATTGCCACAAATAATTGTGCCTGACCAGTAAAAGTTAAAGCCTTGCAAACCCCGAATCCAACCTCACGATGCCATAAACAACATTCGCAGGCCATGGCATAATGCTTTATAAGCTAATTATAGTCAGGAACCTCAAAACGTTAAAGGCCCCATAAGTATTATTTACCCGACCAACATACATTTCGCAAAAACCTATGAACCTCGCCATGAACCATTTTTATTCAAGAATTATAGAATAAAAGCCGTATTTGAAGCTCTCATACCCCCTTATGAGAAAAGCCCATAAGAAGGCCTCAGCGTCTCTGGAGGCACGCCTTCCAGTCGACATTGCCTCGCTCGGGCGCTTTTGAGCTGGTCAGAAAGGCATTCGAAGGGCTGTACCCATATAGGCCCCATAGTAGTTCCTTTTTGGGATTACCTTATAGGATTCTATATATGAACCCAAAAAGGAGCTACTTTAGGGCCTATGGGTATACGGGATTTAGGGTGTAGGGCGTCTGCAGTTCTGTGAGGGTGTTGCATGCTCCAGTGTTGGTGCCGCACCCCGCCCCACCCCTACCCCGCCAGACATTCTCCTTCTTGCACCTGTACCGCTAGCACCTCTAAGTCTCACGCATTGCTCGTTTTTTCGCGATTTTGATATCTGGATTCCAGGAATACTAACCTCTGCCGGCGCTGAAAGTTCGCGTTGTGTACGGCCAATGATACAGCCTTGCCAGTTGTAGCCAAACATGGTGAGTCTTACACATTACCCGATCCACTACTACAGAGCTACATGCGTTAAAATCATCCGAGTTCGACGTTCAACATGTATATGTCGTCGTGCTTGACCCTAGCTTAAAGCAACCAAGACCACTAAAATTCAACTTCCAAACCCTCAACCCTAAACCTCCCTCAACAGAAATATAACAAACTAAACCCTAAACCCTAAACCCTGAATCCTAAACCCTAGACCCTAAAGACACATAACAGAACTGGGTAGACCGGCAAGTGCCAGAGCTCCAATGCCAGCTCACTCTCTCGAGCTTCGACCGTGGAGAGCTCCTCCTCGGCTACGAGGGCTCAACAAGGTTTAGGGTTTAGGGTTTAGGGTTCGAAACTTTAGAGTTTGGGGTATTTGGGGGGTTGGGGGGGATGTAGGGTTTAGGCTTCGAGGGTCCGATAGTTTAAGGTTGAATCCGGCATTCAGGGTTTTTGGGGTTAGGGTTTTGGGGGGGTGGGGCTTAGGCCTGACTTAGGGCTCATGGTGTGGGGCCAGTCAGAACGTTTAGGCTTCCAGTCTTACTGTGGCTTTCGGCTACTGTAGACCTTTACTGTTCTCTGATTGCGACTACTGCTGAGGTAGTGGTAGTGGCCGTTGAAAATAGAAATGCAGCAGCAGCAGCAGCAGCAGCAGCAGCAGCAGCAGCAGCAGGAGCAGCAGGAGCAGCAGTAGTAGTAGTAGTAGTAGTAGTAGTAGTAGTACCAGTAGTAATAATAATATCAGTAGCAGTGGTACTACGAGGTCGTAGTAGAAGCAGAAGCAGTAGCAGTAGTAGCAGCAACAGCAGTAGCAGTAGAAATAGAAATGCCAGACGCAGTCGCAGCAGCAGTAGCACGCGTGGTAGGTGTATAGGTGCTGGGTGCCGGTGGTGCCGCTGGTGGCGGTGGCTGTGGTGGCGGTGGCGGTGGCGGTGGCGGTGGCGGCGGCGGTGGCGGTGGTGGTGGTGGTTGGTGCTGGTCGGATGGGTGTGGCGGTGGCAGGCGCAGCGGCGGTGGCGGTGGTGATGGTACTGTACTGGTGCGTGGTTATTGCTGCTGCTGCTGCTGCTGCTGCTGCTGCTGTTTTTTTGCTATGCTACGGCGGCATTCCGGGTACTCTCCACACTTCCCCTACCCGGTACTCCCGAAGTCTCCTGGAGCTGGCCGTTCTCGCCCTGGTAGATTTCTACGCGCTGGCCTCGGTCAGGGATACTCGAGTTCTCGTCTGTGGGCTGTGAAGCAGCGAGAGCTTCGCGGCTTGGATGGCTGAAAATATGGGGGTTTCCGAAAATAGGGGACCCTAATATAGTACCCTAAACGGTAGGATCCTCATTATAAGGACCCCAAAATCAGGGACCCCTTATTTTCGGAAACTCCCATATGAGCATGTATGAGGCACCGGGCCAGAAGACCTGCTGAATCCCAGCCTTCCTGGACCAACACTCACATGCAGCAGTGCCTACCTTTTACGACTTCAGGCTCTTCACCCTGGACTCTCAGCGACGCGTTGAGAAACAGCTGATGCAATATTGTGCAGGGTGGTATGTGAGCACCTAGGACAACGCAGAATAGCACAAGCAACAATCTCATGACGGAAGACCCTACGGGAAAACACAAACGCTGAGAGGCACTGCGTAGGCGAAGGTAGAAGCAAGCTCGAACGCCTACACCCATGACAGTTTCAGATTCCAGAACGGTCACAACTATCCTCAAAATTTTCTCAATTGCAGATCTTCAGTAGCAAACTCCTTCTGAAGAGGTGAACGGATGGTAAAGGGGGATTGTGACTACCCATAGGCCCCATTGTAGTTCCTTTTTGGGATTACCTTCTAGGATTCTAAATCTGAACCCCAAAAAGGAACTACTATGGGGCCTATGGGCTTATGGGTAGACTCTAAAACTAAACCCTAAACCCTAAACCCTCTCTTACATATATATATATATATATGATATGCTTTGTAAAGAAGGGTATCGCTTCAAACGAAGCCGCCAGACCGAAAAGGGCTGGCGCAGGCCTCGAGTTGCACTGAGCAAAACAAGGACAAGTTACACCCTAGGCCCTAAAGTAGGTCATTTTTGGGGTTCTCATATATATATATATATATATAGAGATAGATAGAATCCTATAAGGTAATCCCAAAAAGGAACTAAACTATGGGGCCTATGGGTACACCATAAACCCTAAGCCCCAAACAAGCCGTCTAGAAGCCAAAGCCCGAACTCCCGGCCAAAATGCCGAAGGCCTCAAACCCCGCCTAAAATCCCAAACTCCTAAAGCCCCCAAACCCTATATAAATCCTAAATCCTAAACTCCAAGAAAAACCCTCTATATACATATGTATATATATATATGTTATATATATATATATATGTTATATATATATATAATATATATATATATATATATATATTATATAATATATATATATATATATATCCTAAATCCTAAACTCCTAGAGAAACCTTTCAACACCATATGAACTCCCCGGAGATCCAAAGGCTTGCGCAGAGCGCGTTCAGGTCACTCTGGAGCCTTTCTGCCTGAAAGAGTTCAGAGTTCAGAGTTCCAGGCTTGAGGTTTAGGGTTTAGGGTTTATAGCCTGAAAGAGTTCAGAGTTCAGAGTTCCAGGCTTGAGGTTTAAAAAGCTTGCGATGGTTGAAGGGTTTAGGGTTTATAGGGTTTTGGGGTTGTAGGTTCCACTGTGATGGGAAAGCACGACTGCGGAATGGGCAAGGCGGGATGCGCGGTTCCCACCGGATGCGCCCGAGTAGCGCCGGGTATAGCCACGAGTATGCCAGAGCAGCTCAGCCATGTAAGGTTCAAACAAAGGTATAAGTTACTTTAAGGGTCCAAGGTAGCGGCCAGCCCGGGATTCTGTTTTGCTTCTTTCATGTTCCGGTGCAGTTCCCCTGCTCCCGACCTGAAACCCGTCAGGCCCGCACCTCCCTAAACACTTCCCAAAGAACCTGTGGCATGCAGGAATCCAGGACCTCTAATCAAGGGATGTTTACATGTAATTGCTCCGGCAGTGAAAGTCATTGCTGCACCAGAAAGTATCGCAGGTGATCTGCACGTTACGATTATCAAGCTTATTGCGACTGGTATTGGCGTTGGGAACTGTCAGTACTGCTACTGTGACCGTGACTACTTCTCCTTTGTTGCTGTTCTGCTGCCACGTCCACTGCCAACCTTTGACCATACTCGGC